ATGTTACGCCATTATCTGATCCTTGACATATGTGACGTTTAAATATATGTGGACAGGTTTGCCTTCAACCTTCTCTTATAACAAATACGTATTGGGTGCCAAATGGCTACCTTTGCAGGCTGAAGGTAGGTAAGGCTGCCGCCAAGCTAAGATGAATTAGACAAATACCTACTGCATGAAGATTACACATTCAATCTCTTTAATGAGACAATTAGCTGCAGAAGAAAACAGCGGTGAAATCATACTGATATCTTTACGTTCTGCTAATTAAGGAACGCCCATGCATAATTAAGATTCGATGTAATTAGCCGATACGTTTTACATGCGTGTTTTTCATGGCAAGTTCAGCGTTTTTACATGGTCTGATGCTTGTGACACTAGCACGTACAGTAGTGAAGTCTGTGGTATCTGATGTAGACTGGAATTACTTCATACCGGGGAGGAAATGGCAGACACGTTACGTTTTATAGCGGCTGTGAAGAGACGCTATTGCACCGTGGAGACAGGAACGCAGGGCCGGGAAAACGGTCATTTGTTCTACAGGGTCGCAGTGTGGAGCACGCGATGTTACGGTTATGTAATAATTGGTATGCTCGCTTGCAAGGATCGAGGGGGTGTTTCAATAGTGCGTGAGCGGTTTAAAAACGAAATCTGATGAGTCTCGGGTGAAAGATTTCTGTCAATATTATCAAACAACACGACGGAGAGACTGTGCCATGACCGAATTCACAATCGTTAAGGACATTTTGTCGGAATATCACCACAATACATTAACCTTTATTCCTATTCAGATAGTTTCGGTCACGAGACTCAAATCTTTAACCATTAACCTTGGTTAGTTGGTTGGTTGGTTAGTTGGTTGGTTGGTTGGTTGGTTGGTTGGTTGGTTGGTTGGTTGGTTGGTTGGTTGGTTGGTTGGTTTGGATGGTTGGTTGGTCGTGGAAGGTTCTGAATGTGTGACAGGAGCTTTACACACCTGTTACTAAACCTGGGAAGACCCAACATTAGGCATTTGCACTGTCCAAAACCGTACTTTCGAAAGTTCCATAGACTAATTCGAACGCGTTTCGCCTGCGTCCCCCGCGCCGCTTTCGAACATTCGATACCGGATTCGAACGTTGGAACTGATGTTGTTACAATTTTTGTTGCATTCTGTTATGTAAGCCTTGGTGCCAGGAACGACTACAGCACCTCACTACTAATATCACGGTTCTGAATATATAGTCCACGTGTATCCAGAACCGCACCTGGAGCAAATCTACGTTATTGGATACGCGGAGACCATCCAAAACCGTGTTTGATCCTAACCCTAACCCATTCAGGCATAGAACTAGATAGGCACGGTTCTGACCAAAAGGTCTGTTTGAAGATTTACTATGGAGACTATGTGTACCTTTGTATTTTCTTCAGGCATCCACCACCACCCCTTCCCCCATGTATGACGGTCAGGCCAGGCTTCTTTAATCAATCTATTCCCTAACTTGCGCAATAGCCAACAGCAAAAGCATACTAGAACATCAGACTCACAGACCATCCGCCTTCCTAAACCTCGAACAAATGCACAGAAAAGAAGATTTTTGTATAGAATGTCCAGTGCCTGGAATGAAATGAAGTGGTGATGATGTTATAGCTTTATTTTAATCTGTTTTAGTATGTTGTTGTAATTGCCATGTATTTATGTTTTGTAAATATGTCATGTGTGTCTTGAAGGACCACAGGAAGAATAGCTACATTTGTTGTAAGCTAAATGTGGATCCCAATAAAGTCAAAGTCAAACTTCTGAAGCCTGGTAGAGGCTACAATATTTAGTCAGTTGGCATAACGAAGACTTTGCTAAGCACAATATAAATCTTCATCGATTATCGGAAGCAAATATGAAGCATGGATATTCACCATCGATTGGAAAGGAAAAATTATCATAACTGTTCACACTGATTATGACAGACGATACAATTACAGAAGTATTGATTCTGGGGGGTATCTTTACACACAAACGCGCCAATTCATTAAGGCCATTTCTGTGTGGTCGTTCTTTTACTATAGTGATCCTATCCCATAGCAGACTAATATCTGTGAGGCAAAGTGTGATGTCACTGACGGAAAACCGTTTTAATTCGTATCGTAGGCTGTTTATGGGTGTTACCCCAAAAATAAAGAGATGTCTTGTTTCCGAGCAGTAACTTTCAACATCAAAGATATTTCTTCATCCAGATTAGTATCATTTTTGGCCACCCTGAAATTACACTAGATGCTTTTAGCAGCTAGACTGCGGTTCCTCCGAGAAGCCAAGACATAAGTATGGTTCTGAATGTGTGTCAGGGGACCAGAACCGTACTTTCGAAAGTTCCATAGAATACGTCGAACGCGTTTCGCCTGCGTCCCGTGTGCCGCTTTCGAACATTCGAATACCGGATTCGAACGTTGGAACTGATGTTGTAACAATTTTTGTTGCATTCGTTGTACAGCATTGGTGCCAGGAGAGACTATAGGTCCGAGACAATATTAATCTCATTCCCCGGGACATGTCCGCGTAGGAAACGAGCGTTCTACCCTCTGCCATTAGCGCTATCAGTAAGCCGTCCCCGGGATGCCGGAGTAGGGTTCTATTTCCCCAGGACCCCATTTGACTTTCAGGGCCTTAATGACGACGGGAGCAGATTTAATGGTATCGGGGATTGCGGCAGGGCGTCGCCGGCGGGCAGACGGCACCTAAGGCCGGACAGCGGGATGGATTTCTCATTACCGTCGGCAGGCAATTAAACATCAGACCTAGAGCTCGAGCGAGCTCGTGAAATGTGAGATCTCGAGATTCGAACAAAGCTAAAACAAGCTACTGAAATGTACGATCTCGACCCGATATCCATACAAAGATAAAACAAGCTCTTGAAATTTAAGATCAAAACAAGGATCAAGCAAGCTACTGAAATGAAAGATCTCGACTGAATATATCTAAACAAACCTAAGGAGACCTCTTGAAATGTAAGATTTTGAAAGAGACAGTTGAAAGAGTTGGAGCAAGATCTTGGAATTTGTGATATCGAGATTTTAACAATGCTAAAACAAGCTACTGAAATGTAAGATCTCGACCCGATATCTACACAAAGGTAAACAGGCTCTTGAAATGTAAGGTCTTAAGGCCGAAACAAAGCTCAAGCAAGCTACTGAAATGTAAGATTTCGACATGATATCTAAACAAACCTAAGAAACTCTCTTGAAATCTAAGATGCTAAGATTTAAAACACAGACGGCATCGAATTCGAACAGGAATCACATACAAGTAACCAAAATTAAACTGCGACGAACCTTCACAGTACTTCGTAGACATAAGAATACTACAGGAAAGGACAGTAACTTTATGTTTAATTGAGGGTCTGCGAGTAATGATTTTTCTATAAATGTGCGGTGACTCTATAGATCTTCCCTTTTTATCGTACTACAGGGACCCAGGAGCTCTAATGAAGGAGGAGGACTCAAGGGAAAATCAATACAACCTGATGGATAAGGAGTCTTACTGTATCTTTGAAACTTATATAATCTGGGACGGGCTCCCTTTGGGGGGTTGATTTGATTTTGATGACACAGTTATTGACAGGATGCTCCCTAAATATCGCACATTGACCCCAAGTTTACCTCTGTACTAACAACGCTGCTCTGTTAGTGAATTAGCACCGAATCACTAGAATCTTAATAAGAATAGGGGCTATTATGGCTGTATCAATGCCAAATTACATCGCAGTAGCAAATTTATGACTTATGTTTTGTGAATTGGCTTTTGTGTTTTGTCTATGCCGTGGTCAAGGTTGTACAGACATCGTCCCGGTGCTCCAAGGAGGTCATGGTCAGTCTTTTGCCACGGGAACAACAAACATACACTATAGATCTCCGTGGTTCAACCCTGTTGTTTCCTCCCCTACACTAACCCAGTATCGACCATGTCCGGTCAATACCAGATAATACACGACTGCTGTTCAGCCTGGGGTAAAATGAGGTTCAACCAGAACTACCCCCCCCCCTTCGGCCCTGATGAGCAATTTCAGGCGAGGTTTTCCCCACTTCTTTATCTGATTCCTCCAGGAATCTTCCATTACACGCCAGATATCTGCCGGGGTACAGCCGGGTAATGCCATCAGGGAGCCGTCTCACGGAGGGAATGAAATAAGCGGGGTGGACCGAGCAAATTCTGATTGTATTACTGGGTTGCTGATTGATCCGTAACAAGACAAACGAGGTTCACGACTGAACTCCGGCCTAGCCCCGTGGTTCACCGCATATCGTTATCAGAAAAGGCTCAAAGCACATTCCAATGTGCTGAGAAAATTGGTACCTTTTTTGGATACGTTGATATGTTACTTGATGCTATTTAGAAGATTGCAAAATTCCAATGTTCTCAGAAAATCGGTACATTTTTTGATACACTGACATGTTACTATATGCTATAGAAGATTGCAACATTCCAATGTACTGAGAAAATTGGTACCTTCTTTGATACACTGACATGTTACTTTATGTTATAGAAGATTGAAACATTCCAATGCTGAGAAAATTGGTACATTTTTTGATACATTGATTTATTACTTTGTTGGCTGCTATAGAAGATTGCTGATGTTGCGTTATTTTGGCAAACCACGCCCCTGCAGTTCCATGGGGGAGGGGGGGGTGAGCTGTCACCAATATTATAGTAGAGGTCACCACCCGTGTTATCATAAGGGGCGGAGTACTTAACGCCATTGTAACTGTACAATCATCCGCAAAGCACGGGAGAATCTGAACACAAATGACAACTTACAGCTCAGTCCGTGTTTAAGTCCAAGACCCACCGAATCAATTCTATGAAGCCAACATCATGCTCGGTGGAACTGGTTAATTGTAGACCGTATATAACATCGAACAGAAGCCCTGCATGGCCGGCCTGTGATCGTTAATGTGGCCATAGGCATAATGGGTTAAACATGGTGCTTACGGAAACCGATAAAATCAATACCTATCTGCCATATGCTCACCGGTTCTGCCCAGCAGCTGGAACGATCGTTCAACTTTCACCGACATACAGGACAGAGTCGTCCGGAGTCGTCACAGACCATCACCGCAAACGGAGAAAACTGTTGAGTGTTGTCCGTACGCTTCATAGCGTTGGGTTGTCTCAAATTAGAAGTTAACATGTCAATGGTTAATGAAAAATGGTGGTACTCGACGCCTGGAGAGGTACAGCAAGACCACGCCACACCTGCCCACATTTCTGTATTTCTTAGTTATGCAAATCAACATGCATGACAAAATGATGAAGTTATCACCAATGAATACGACATAGCGTGACAAAAGATACAAAACATGTTGGAAAGGTAAAAAAAGACAGGAGAGTCTTTTAAAAAGATTTGTTTTAGACAAGACCTGCCGTTTTGCACTCCTGATGGTAACTTTCACGGTATTCAGTCTATCGAACGCGCCCTAAATTCTATAATGGAAGATGTCCGGATTCTGCACACTACGCCTCCCCGCGGTTCTGACCCGTCTGACAATGTGTATGATGAGTCGGTTATTCATCAAACCAACGGCAGTCTCTGACGACATTATAGATCCATATAATGTGTAAAACAATAGCCTTATTTTCCCGACGTACCTAACGCGTTAGGTATGCAGGTTTCTGAAAGTAGCAGACAAATAAAATATTCATTCATGTGGATGTAATACAAAATACATCAATCCACTGGATAAATCTCTGAAGACGCAGACGTTTCAGATAACGTTCGGTATCTTCCATCAGTTCCTGACGTTCTCAGTTACTGATAAAAGATAGAGCATGCTATCTGAAACGTCTGACTCATCCGGGAAGTTACTGAGTAGCTTGATGTATTCTGTATCACGTAAGGTTACCTCGGTACCATCCTGGTTAGTTTACGTCCGCTAGAATAGTCGCTAAGGCCATGTTGATTTGCTTATATGGATGACATCCTCCGGGAGCCCCAAAACTGATGCGCGCGTGCGAATAAAAAAAAGTTTTGCAAAAAAAAAAGTTGCTTTCATTATGAAATCTACGTGGTCATGAAGGTTGAACAAAGGGCACAGAGTATCGTTTGGCGAATAATCTACTCTTCAAATTCATTTCTTTACATTTTCGTGTTTTTTTGTTTGAATTTGGCATTCTACGACATTGGTATCGTTTTCAAATATTTTTTTGCAACTTACGGTATAAATTTGTTCATTTTGCAACTGTTTTGTATGATTTACAGTATGGTTGAAAACTTTTTTTTTTGGAAACGGCCGAAAATTCATGCGCGCGCGGATGTCATCCATATAATCAAATCAACATGGCCTTATTATATGTATTTATTTCAGTGGTGCCGTCAACATAAGTGCTTTCCACTTGAGTGCGGCACCACCATGTCCGGTACCTTTTTCTATGTGAATGAATAAAAAAAAAGGTGGGTAGTGACTATCGAAGCGTAAACTAGCCAGGATGTTCTACCTGGCTGTCTAACCATTATCAAATCGAATTCCTTTCTCCAGCAACCGTTGTCTTACAGTATGTGAAGAACGACAAAAACCATAGGAACCATCATAATCATCTACACGGCCTGTATCAGCTGGGACCAAGCTAGTACATATTTCACTCCACACAGCCACGTGAAGCATTTCTTTTCTATATTACCGTGTTTAATCCCAGTGTCTCTAACTACAGTGTCCGTAAAAGTTAAACTTCTGCAATGCATTTTACCACTTGGGTTACACAGGGAAATGGATGGAACTATTTGTTGCTTGGCACGATAGCAGTGCCCAGCAGACTTTACTCGACGATGGATGAGCTTTTGAGACTTCCATAAATTGTTTTGGGAGCAGCATGTTGTGCTCAAGACCGGATCTATACTTATAGCCTCTAATTCGACAACAAGAGCGGTGTCGTGCGTAGACAAGAATAATCGTCTTGGATCCTCCATCAATATTCCTTCCCTGTGTAAGTAGCAGCCTTTCGTGCACTTTTCTCGGATTAGGCCGTGCAGTAGCACGCAGTCCTAGTTGAAAGGAAAAAGGCCATTAATCGCTCTGTGTAGTTTCTGAGAAACCTCGGTGATATTGTTTCGACCCTGTCGCTACGTATGGGCCATCTCATCTGTCATCTTGTATTGAACAGCCCGCGGTCTTTTAGGGTCACCTGCGCCTGGGGGTTTGCAATCCTGCGGGATGGGCTCCGCCTAACAGTTCGCTTCTTAATGACTTGACCTCTTCAGTTGCTGATAGAAACAGAACAGCTTCCACTGTTTTCAAATCGCCCCTACTGGAGATTGTAGGTCTACTAGATGGACGATGTTGTTGGACAGTATTGAGCGGGTAAAAATAGTCCCAGCATGGGTGCCGACATCTCAAGTCCCCGGTGCCTCTGGAAAAGAGCTGTTGTCAGCTTCTACTGCTTTCTTCAATTTGTCTTTGGTTCATTGGAAACTGCAGGTCGTTTGGCACAGAAGACCCCGAATACAATCCGTTTAAATGACGGAGGAAAGGGAGGGCTGGCGGAAAAGAGTCATGAACATCCATGAAACCCTCACGACTAGATGATGATGAATGATGTAAGCTCCCGAAATATGAAAGAAATGAATCAGTTCCTGAATGCTGCGTGCATCACGCACCGTTGGCGTCTTATAAGCACGTATAAACAGCCGCCCAGGTGCAGCTGCATGCTCTGATTCCTCAACATAAGCAGCTCGGGTTACAGAACGGCCCACAAGGTCACAACTTTCGGGTTACATTGTACTTAGCTGGACGGTCAACAAGATGATGATCACACGCTGCTAAAGAAGGATCCTACACCGGAACTCCAAGATTCAACAGTTTAAAAAGTATATTTCAATTTACGCAGGCTATTGAACCCGCGTACGCGTGCGGTATTGTTAGTGGGAAATTGTGCGAAAAGACTGCGATGGGCAGGACGCCGTGTTGCAGGGGACTCACTCGCTCTGTCCTTGGTGCTGAAAACCCGGTTATTGTGACCAGCTGAGCTTTTGTACATACGAATCATTTCGGGGCAGTGTCTCGTTATATAAATAAAGGCTATTGATTGATGGGCGGCACACACCATGGAAAGATACACAGATAAACTTTCTTCAATGTTTCATACTACTTTAAGTCACCTGCCACGCTACTTTAACTCGCTACCATTATCAGAATGTTTCCCTCTCGCAGGGCCCCCTGTTATCGTCCCTGTCACAGGTTCATACGAACGTCGAGCCAGATGACACGCTACATTATAAGTGTACTATTGCAGTCTCCATAGATACGTATGATCATTCCTCAGGTCTGCTGTATTCTTGTGTTCTCATCCTTTTCTTGAAATGTCTAGCAAAAGTTGTCAAATGAAGTTTTTTTTAGTTTACTATGGAAAGGATCAACCTATTTTGATGTATCACTAGCGAATCACAAATAAACTGCCTACAGCCAAGAGAGACACATATAAATTTACTGACATTGGCAATGGACAAGGTAGGCTTTCACCGTCTGTACAATTCAGATAGTGTGATATATCTAACGGGTCATGGGGTGAGTCTGGTATGTTCAGACCTGGTCGGGAAGGTCAGTGAATTTGATTGCATATGATACAACCTTGAGCTACATAGTCAAGCCTTTAAGCGACTTGACAGCAGCGGTAAATCTATGGTCACATTTATATGGCAGAAACGTAAAGCTCGAGTGCCAGGGTCAGGGGAGAGGTAGTTAGAATGCGCAGTGGGGAGTTGTTGTCATTCCGACAGACATTCTCTGACGGATCGGCTCTGCCGAAAGGCGAGTCAGACGATCATTTTCCCTCCCCCCGTGTGCGGTTAATGCCAGGCCGTGTCGCCTCCCCCACATCTGCATACTTGTGCTTCGTCTACCTCTACACGTCCTCATCACTCTTAACGTTATGTAACAGCCGTAACTAATCTGCTAATTCAATTTAGTAGCTTTTCCTTTCTCTGCACGCACTGAAATATCATCAACGTCGTTCATGTACAAAGGTAGAACTGTATATCATCTAATGGCTCTTAATGTGACTTCTTTGCTTTAAAGTTCAAAGTATTATATAGGCGCTCTAGTCTAATCTCTCATACATAGATAGGGCCAGTTGTCCCTCCTTGCACAGAATTAATTCTTTCCGTCTACCTGGCAACTTTTGAAGTCACGTACTTCATGCGTAATGCATTGTGTCCGTGAGCTAGTTCGCACAGCATCTTGGCACAATCACTGATTGAAATGAAACCCTAACCAGCCGCGGTAGGACGTGGATTACCTGTGATCACTAATGGTGCCCTCTTGTCAACCCAATTTGAAGCGACGACTCACTGTGCGGAGGGAGATAAGATAAGTATGTCAGTGCTGTCAACACGTAGACTAAATCTCAGTAAAGACCGCGACAAAAGGATATTAACAGTCAGTTAGTCCAGACACCCTGTACTTCATGTGACGCCGTCGGCGTTGTTGTCCTCAACTCAAGTTCATCACAAAATCTCCTTTCTTGGCACATTTTGTTCGCAAAAGCTGCAACCCACATGTCAGTTTCATGTTACTGTATACACTAATACACTAACTTTCTCCAGGCGACCAGACATCCCTTCTGCGGATGATGTTATATCTAACTAGGTGGTAAATTCACGAATCTCTGTGACAGTTTACTCTTCAGGACTGGACTATTTTTACTGTTGCGGCTATTGAAAAGCGGCGTAGTACTTAGTCCACTGTTACAGTGTAGGGCGTTAAAATCATCTTTATTTCAGTGAATATACAAGATGGAAATTGCTTGGTTAAAACCAAGGTCAGCCCTTTATCCCTTGCTATACTTAGAACAGGAGGGCGCAAGGCATGTAAGACAAATATTAAAAGCTATTTGCCTCAGACATTTTGGTGTGTTAATTAAAAATCAGTTTTCACATATAAATTGCAAGTATATTTTCTACATTTACATAGGAAAATACGTTTTAGAAATATTAAAAATTGAGCATGTTACATCATATCTAACTTCTACAAGACAACAGTCCTGAAGTACTTTCGCAACTGGTGTGTTTCTAGCACAGTACATGGCATCATCTAAACATGAGATATGTACTTAGAAAGGATCTGACGGTCTAAGAG